TTTCGCACCAACAGCACAAAAGGACTCGGAAGCCTGGAAAAGGCTGCTTCCTCGAGGTTCCTCAGAGTCAGGAGCTGGCTTCCTGGTGACAATCCTAATGATTTTGTGGTAACATAACCACAATATTTTATAATGTCAATTTAATTATATGAGTGCACACTGGACTCAGCTAGTGGACAATTCTGACTTTTTTCTTTCAATAATACTGAGCCCTGGCATATAAAAATATTTATAAATAAGCAAGTGAATAATACAAGGAAAGGAGAAGAAAGAGAATGGATGGATAAGATTTAACAAGGAATAAATATAGTGTAGTGTGGTTAAGAACTCCTAATTTTATGCCAAGTTCAGCTGAGGCTGCTGGTCAGGTTGAAGAAGTAAAGCAAAAGATGGCAGGAAGTCACAGTTCTTGATATTTAGACTGCAAAATCAGTGGCAATGAGCATTTAAGCTAAATACTCTAAAACCCTGATAAATATCAATATTCTAGAAGACAAATTATAACAGTCTGATTCAGATTCTATCAAAACTATAACAAAATAACTGTCAAATAGCAACCAGAAAGTAGAAAATTATATGCAAAAGAGAAAAATCCAGAGGATCAAAAGCCTAGTGTGACCTGCATAAGTGTGACTAGTCAGGGGCTGGGGAGATAGCTCAGCAGTCTGAGCACCTGTCTGGCAAGTGCAAGGTCCTGAGTTCAACCCCCAGTACCAAACACTGTGCCAGCCCAAAAAACCAGGCACCATGCCTGTAATCCCAGTGCCGGTGAAGCTGAGACAGGAGGAGTACCATGAGTCCAAACTGTTTAGCGAAGACCCTGTACCAACAACAATAAAAATGTGGCTAGTCAAAGGGACATGTTTCCTACAGATTTATGCATACAGTTTACAAGATACTTTTAAAATCTATTGAATGAGGGAACGCTTTCATGTGTAAAGATCTTGCTAAGCACTATTACTCACAATAAAATACTAGGCAATGGTCTATATGCAATAACAAACACTTACTGAAAATTTTTGTTTGTTTGTTGTTTTTTGTTTTGTTTTTTTTGGCCAGCTCAGCCCACCCTGAGGGTGGGACTGGCACAGCATGTGGTGCCTGGGATCAAACCTGGGTCCCCTGCACCTGCCTAAGCAGGCACTTTAGACTACTGAGCTATCTTGCTGGGCCTAAAATATGTAGGTTTTTTTTGTTTGTTTGTTTGATTTTTGAATGTTAATCAATGAGATATATTTAACTCAAGAAGATCATTCAATGCAGTTACCATCCACTTTTTCAACATGTTGTTGCCATATTAAAATCAGAATATCCTCTGTTTATAGTGGAGGACAGCCATGTTGGCTTCCCCTGACCCAAGTGTCACTGTGCTTACTTAAAAGCAATGCAGGCTTTATACAGGTAACTTTCCCAAACTGGCTTTCATTTTAGTTAGTCCAGACAAGGCTGTGTACATACATGAAAGCAGGCAGTTGATAATGGGCTAATATATAGTTTGCTATCAACAGCTATGGCTCAGCTCAGCTAGATAAGCTGTGATACCACAGAGATAAGATATGAGATAATGTCTCTGTTTAGCCTTGCATCATGATTCCAGAGAAAAATTTCTTCCCAGAATGGACTACAAAGCAGGTTATTCATTAACCATAACCTAATCTGCCTGTTCCTGTCACTTCTGCAAAAATACTTTGTTCCCTCCATTAGAAGCCTTGTCAGCCTCACCACTTGTCTAGCACATCCAGTCATAATCCCCTCACCACCTCCTCACTGAATGAATACCAAGGTGCTGAACGTTTTGGGGTCTTTTGTTTCCTGAGAGCAACTGGTCATCCCAGATCCCTGCTATGGGTCCCTCTATTTTTGTCTGTTGCTCTTTCCTTTCTTGCCATGTACCACCAACCTGGGCTGGAGATTGGAACCTTCTGCAGGGGTCTCTAATAACTTATCTGGAAAAGACTGATTCCATGACCCACATGTATAACAAAATCAATAAATACTCCAATCCCTTGCGTAAAATAGCATAGTGTTTGCATATAACTTGTACACAAAGGTAAACTAGAATTTTCAGTTAGACTTACAAAATAATCATCTTTAACATAGTAATGGTCACATATGCACATCCATCTTGTCACCATTGCTCCTAAACATTTAGCATTGTAATGGTTTCACTTCGCTAAACAGGTCATTTACCAATTGTTTTTAACACAGCAGTTTACGTGCCTGAAGATATTGACATTATAGGGCAAACTGGGAAACCTTATAGTGAATCAGAAAAGCACATATATACCTGAAATTTGTATTAAGCACTTTTTTCTTTTATTGTGGATTTCAAAAGCCTTATAGAAAGAATTCATAGACAGTTATCCAAAATTATTCATAGTTAGAAAACAAGATTCTCCTGTAATTTAGTAGCAGTTTTTAAAACTAAGATATCCATAGCTTTACTATATATATAGTGCAGTGGTTATGTCTGCTGAGGTCACCAGAAATATTTAAGAGACTGGTGATGTTACAGACACTTTCTCCCAAAGTGGTCACGCATGCAAAACTCACTGGTTTTACACACCTTGACGCTTGATTGTGATCCAGAAATTTCAATGGATAAAAAATTTTCATACACACTTTATTATGAAACTTCTAATTACTCTCTTAAAAGTGAACTACTGGGCCAGGGAGATAGCTCAGTAGAATAAGTGCTTGCCTGGCAAGTGCAGGGTCCAGAGTTCAATCCCCAGTACCACAAAAAAA